GTCCCTTATTTAAACCAATAGATTAACCCCTCCCCTTAAAAAAAACACATGTTTTTATGGTTTCAAAAGCTACAGAGATTTTGTTGGTGTCCAGTCCACGTGAGGGCTTATACATTGATAAATTAAGAATAGTGAAATGAGTTGTTCGGTTTCCAATACGATTTATTGATTTAATACACGATTGCGGGTAAATTATTTTTTGTGTGTATACTTAAGCTTTAAAAATTACATGAATAATTTTGTTTTGTCCGGCCTGAAATTGTTGAACTAAGCACCAGGGTTAAATGGTTAATGCGTTAGTCTAAATGTAAAGCACGTTTCTACTTGCAGAATGATGCGTTGTTTTGCAGCTATTTCACTGTCCTGGGAATTTAAATTTTAGTTCAAGGGCAAAGGGACATTACGTGTTTTTAATATTCATTCTGCGAGATATCTCCATGTCTGGTTAATATTTCCATTCTTATAATTTTGGCTGTCAAAAACAACACATATAGTTTTGGTTGTGTTTACATTTTATTTTTAACGTAAAACGATAATTGGCTTTTACCATAATACGTTTTTATAACCATGACAAGTAGCCTACTATGAATATTTTTGTTTGTTATTATTTGTCTTTGAACACATATTTGTCCACGAAGTCAAGGGAGTAACATTATAAAACCTGTGACCTCTAGATTTTTGTAATACTTAAGTCCCTGTGATTAAATTCAGATCCAATTTCGTTTTGCATCATATATTATATGACACCGTTGCATGTTTAATATTTTAAATAGGTTTCATGTTATGGCAAGTTTTTATTCAAAACTGTTAGAACGCATCGTCGTCGTCAATACGCATAAATACAGCATTTACCAAATTCGATAAAAATAGATAAAATTTTCCCAATGTACCTGGTGAGTTAGTTATTTGTGCAACTTATCAAGAAGTGCTGCTGGAAACTAGAGGGAAATGATGACGCAATCGCCCGGTCTTGTCCAGAGTTCGGAAAGACACTTTGAACATGGATTCAACATTAAATATGCTTTACTGTTTTTGTGTGTGACATCTAACAAAAAATATGTGCTCAAACAAATGTTTTAAATGATCTTTACCGTAAAGATGGTTTGTAGCTGAGCTGAATTATCGAGGTGACGGAATAAACAATGTTGCCATCTTTTAAAAGCGACAAACGAAAAATACTCTCAACTCACGTAGCGAGGGAGAGGAGGGAGATTGGTGTGCAGTGTAGATTGTTAAGGAGCTTACTGTTTTGTAAATTAATTCTAGATTATTAAATGATATAATGTTTTGACAACTCTAGACAGATTATTTCCAACTCTGAGGGGCAGGACATTTCTCGAGCCTAGCATAATGTCAGTCTACATTATGAACATGGTGTCTTTTTGTCTTTGTACTTGATTGGTTCTAGATAAAAATATATGTTGGTGAAGTAAATTAATTACTCAGACGTTACCCAGAGGCAGCCATTATGCATGCGGCAGTTATTTAATATTTTGAATATATAAGTTTCATTTTAATTTTAAAAGTTGTAAAAAATTTTAGTAACTAATTTGTTGCCAAAGTCAGTGGAAAGCCGAAGCTAGAGACAATTTACCAGCTTGACTTGGCCAGAGTCGAGACACTACGGACACTCAAGGCTTTTAGACGCATTAAAAAACTTTGCTCGCTCAGCAGCTTAATTTGGCAAACCTTTTACTAATGGGGAAAGTTGATGTCTTTTACTGCAAAGATTTTAGCAGACGACGCTATTATTTGTAACTAAACATTGGGTAATCTTTGTTTAAAAGTTTTAAATTTTAATTTCTTTCACAGGTTAAGTTGGTAATGCAGTTTCATATCAAAGATAATCAACTGTGTATTTTATATTTCATTATGGGCAATGACCATAGATATATAAACGTTAGTTTCTATGAGTAAAAGAATTCCAATGTCAACAGACCAGAAACTGTAGACAAGATGTACTTCAACACAAATGGGTGTACTTAAACACACAAAAGGGTACACAAATAGATGCTCATTTCAATGAACAGTAAATATTATTTTAATCCATAGCTGGTCACTGAACTGTGATTTGGTGAACAGAAGCAAAACAAAACTAATAACAAAAGTTCGCGTATCAAATGCAAAGCAGTTTTTATTTTCAAATATATTTTACAGTGCATAGGTTTAATATTTGTAGAAAACTAACAATAATTGTTAACACCCCTTCAATAAAAAAATTAATTTATTTACAAAAAAATCCCCTTATTGAATTTACATTTTTGTAAATACCGTTAGAAATACACAATGAATCATTTTTTTATAGTAATACTTCTTTTTATGGTTTACAAATAAATACTGCATTTTTAGTTAGTTTTGAGCAAAGAACTACTCAGTAAATTTAGTTTATCCCATTGGTAAAATTGTATTTCGCTAAACACAGTACATATCGTATTATGAATAAATTAATTGGAGATATAGTACACATACAGATCCAGGTTTAACCATGGGTAAAGGAATTGAATTAATTGAGAAAATGAAGAAAATGCTAACAATGTTTTATGAAGTTATAAAGTCGTTCAAAACTAGTTAACGGCTTTGAAAGTGTGTTAACTATGAGGCGTTTAATAATTGGGGTAGTCGGGCTTTAGTATATTAATACTTTATATTTTATCAATGTACATTTCAATGCATGTGTAAATTAGTTTTGAAATAAAAGGGATCTAGGTTTAAGAGATTTTTATAAGCACAGTTTGATAAATTTTATACTTTAGGTTTCTCTTGTTCTAATCACCGCAGATATCAAGGCGCAGAGTAGGCAATTGAGATACACCTGGCACTCGGACACGTTTAACCGTCTGAGTATAAAACAAAAGTGTATTATTGATACATAATTTTTCTGTGTAACGTTTTTTCCACAATTAAATATAAAAATCTATTTGTCAACTTTTACTTGGAATTCTACCATACATATAAACAAGGTTAGTTGTGAACTCTACTAAAAAAACAGAAGGGCTACTACAATTCTACTATCCAGTTGACAACTGGGCATTAAAATCAGAAACACACGTCAAACGTTTCTCCATAATTCAAAGCTAAGATAGAAAATGGTTACTATTTTAATTCAATTACTAGACATAAATCGTATGTATGTAGTTTAAAGGCTACGTTAAATAATATCTGATACAACATTAAAACGATTTTGCGATCTGTTTGTAAAACGTAACAAAAAATCTCAATCAAATTCTCATAATTTCATCCTGGCTGGGGCATCTAGCATAAAATGGAAATTACAGCTGACATATTGATAAGTAAACGTATCCGGTGATTTATGCTACACACTAAAATTGAAATGCACAGATGTCTCTTTAAAACGATACATTTCCAAGTTGTAGTTTTGATGTTTGGATATTTATGTTTAATCTATTTAGTACAGTCAGTTTTAACGTTGCAATTTTTATGAGTTATTAACGCTAGGAATTCTAGTTGACCTAAAATGCAATGGCATATCAAACTGTGTGGAAATTCAATCTACTACATTAAAAGCAAGTTAGTAGTTGCAAAAATTGTGTCAATCCTACTTTGGTAAATTTTAGATCGATCAGCATATTACGGTTATAAATCGCGATACGAAATGAGGGCTATGTAACTTTTATAGCTATACCATCTTATTATAGACAAGACAATTCATAGGTTGAATTTTAACATTACAGAAAAATCATTTTGGTTTTAGTTCTTAATTTAAAACATTTCAGTTTCACATTGAAATAAAAATTAAATTGAAGAATAATTTGAATTTCAAGGTCTTGGGTGTCTGCAATTACTTGACAATATTACTTTAACTAACTGTTTACCACTATGATATTTGTCATTTTGCAGAGTAGACCTCCTTAATCTACCCGAACGGGACTGGACCTAGGTCGGATAACTCAAAAGGTCGGTTAAAACGGGCAATCCCTAAAAACTGAAAAAAGAAGTGCTGTTCATGCGGAATCATATAATCATTATTCTGAAGTCATGTGTGAATTATTTACAAAATAAACTACACTAAAATAAAAAACTCAACCCAAAACACGGTAAAGTCCAATTATTTCAGTGGAATAAATTATAGTTGTAAGCTAGAGTCAATAAAAATTTTCATTTTAGTGCCTTAAGTAGTATTATAGGATGTACCTTGCTAAGACCAATATGACAAACTGCAATACTTTTTAGGATAAAAAATAACTTTTTTTTCGTAGCATCCTGTACAGCTTAGCGTATTGTTCCCATCGCCGAGCATGAGAGCGTAAATGCCAAGATTCCTAGACAGCAGCAGTTAAACCGAACTGCTTGTAAAACAAGGGGTGTTAAAACAAACTGAAAAATGTTACAAGCGAAGGCGGATAATACGATTATCGGCTATGAGGGGGGTCTTGGTCCACTGTAGTTTAATACGTTTTATAGTTTTAAGTGAATCCTACAGACATTGAAAAGCTGAAACTCCATAATGATAAGTGTGACTGAAGTAAAATCCTTTAGAAGTACTCTGTAAATTAAAGTAGGTGTGTTGTTAGCCTAGGTTGGCGTCTCGGACTTCGGTACACGGGCGGGTTTGATTCCCAGCTTATCCACAAAACTTATGAGTTTGGACCCCTTCCCTAAAAAGGGTTCCATTAACACTCTCTGTTTCATCTCCTCTGAAAAATTACACCGTCGTAAACAAAAGCAAGAACAAGACAACATTAGATCTTTACTAGATTTTTTATGTCCATCATCTATTTCTTATACAGTGTTCTGAGATAAGAAGTAGTATATGTTGATACATCAGGTGTTATCTAACACATCATTATTAAAATAGCCAAGGGATAGCATGGTAAATCACGGATACATCAGCTATGTTCTATAACATAAGGCTTATTCATGTCAATGAATTAATGTAGTATCTAGTGTTGCAGTAGACTTGCAGAGTCAATATTTGCCTAGATGAAACTAAATAGATATAGCGTTGGTTAAGTGTTGACTATTGTTGGTTTATGTTGCAGGCCCCGCTATGACGTAACACAATGCTTTGGTGGGTCTTTGTAATGGCAGTTTTGGGTGAGCTATCTTGTAACTCTCAGTCAGGTAAGTGTTACTCTATATTGTATCTTGACCCTTAGTGATTCGTAACTTTGAAACTTATAATTTCACTGCTCACATAGAAGGCTACTACGTTATAACTAAGTTTCTTCATTAAAGTGCAAAATACTCTCTAAATAATTAGAAGAAATTACTTTCCTTCGTGTTAAAATATAACTGTTGGAGTACAGTGTTGGGGAAGCTACTTTTAAAATGTAGCTAGCTACAACTACTGCTACATTTCCAAAAAAGTAGCTTAGCTACAGCTACAGCTACAGTTCCGAAAAAGTAGCTAGCTACAACTACAGCTACAATGAAATGTAGCTACAGCTACAATTTTAGCTACTTTTCCAAAGACGTTAGGCCTACTTTTTATTCCACGCACATTAGGAAAATGTAAAATTAATTGCAACTACATTTTTACTGAACAAACATTAAAAAAATGTCAGTATTGTATCTTAACATTAATTGGAAAACAAATTATTCCTAGATTGTATTTAATTTTTTGGCATTATAAACCTAACATTACAACAACAGAACCAAATAGTTCGGTGTCACATCATATTTAGTACCACTTATCTTTAAATATCACATTATTTTTAAGCATCTTAAATGTAAATTTCATTAAGTTCAAAGGACATACAACCAAACTATATTTTAAAAGCTCATTTTATTTCTTTAATATAGATTCATTTATAGATGTCTTATATCAACAATTAAGACCAATAAAACTGTAAAACGATTATTTAAAAATACTTTTTTGTGTTACAGAGCCTAGCCTACTGAAATTGGAGTTTATTGCTTTATTTTAATGTTAAAAACGACATTGCTATAAACTTTTAAGTGATAAGTTACTTGTTCTATGAATAACACTTTTCAATGTCAAGAAATCGTCCTTTATTGTCATTATGCATAGGGCAAATTGTACTTCAACCTAGTTGGTACTGTACAGAAAACAGTATCCAGTAACTTATCCTGAAATAGGCTTTTAATTTAAACATGTTGAAATTTGTAAAGTAAAAATAACATGTAGGCCTACTTGGCTATGTAACAAGTTGGCTATAGTAGGCTTGTTCTTGCTAGGACTAAACAGATAGGATTCCTAATAATTGAAATTGGAACTTGGTATTCGTCTTAAACCATAGCATAGCCTAGGAATTAATAGTCCTATACAAGAGCTGTTACCAGGAGCAAACTATGCTATTTTTTCAAAGTAAGTTTCATGTTATATGGAGATTTTTTCGTTACAATTATCATTTAGTCTATACATATCTTAAATCACATCAGGTAATTTCCTCTTTGTTAATTTAGTAAACCTTTGAAAAATCTTCGTAATCTAACCAAGGAAGGGCTTTTGATGATGAACCACAATCAACAGCTGAAGCAAAGGTTGATAGACCAGCTTTCTCATTATTTTAAGGTTTAGTGTTGGTTTCCATTAAAATCCAAGTTGAAACACTATCGGTATAATAAACAAACTAAATTGATTACTAATTTCCCTGTCAATCACTTGCAAGCATTCAATAGCTTCTCTTGTCTTGTCACCGGTAACGTTTAAACGTCGTCTGCATCTAGCGATTTTATTTTATCTGACAGTAATCATAGAGTAATAAATTAAGGAAATGAGAGCCAAAATGTGGATAACACTAATTTTAATGGCCTCCATGTCCACACAGCGTTGTAATAGGGATGAAACGGCTGCAACCAGCTGTATGAAGCCAAGAAAGTAGGCCTAATTTTTTTGAAAATCTCAGTTTGAAAGAGGTTGTTTCACGTAAGGTTGAGGTTATGATAAAAATCACTATCTCAAACAATGTTAATGTAGCGAGAAAAGTAGCTAAAACTCCGCTACAACTACTTTAAAAATGTAGCTAGCTACAGCTAAAGCTACAAAATCTTAAAAGTAGCGTAGCTACAGCTAACGCTACAAAAAAAGTAGCGCGCTACTGTAGCGTCGCTACTTGTAGCGCACTACTTCCCAACACTGTTGGAGTATTTAATCGATTGCTTGCGCAATGTTTTCAAAATTGACCCTACAGTAGGAGTTCAGTACTTAATTTTTAACTAATTTGATAAAAACCACTCAGCTTCACGTTTAACGTAATTATTTTGAGATTTTTATATATAGGTAAAGGTTCTTTTACAAAATTTGTGTTAAAACAAAAACCATTATAACATATTGCATAATATTAAGATATCCAAAATCAAAGTCGTTTTATCGTGTTTTAACGTAACAACCACAGGTACGTTAAAATAGCGTTTAATTATCTCTATACGAAGATAAATTTAAGATGAACCAACAGACCGGTCCAAAAAATAAATGTAACATTTATTTTAACTTGAATTATGTAAGTAAATAGTTTATTTTCTATCAATAATATGAACATAATAAATATATTGACAATATTCGCTATCAGTCTCTTCAAGTGGACAACTTAGCTCACTCAGGTGAGCCTAGTATCAAACTCCGCCAAATCCACTTTTTGGCCAAATTAAGTTAGACATCCTATCCCATGGATTCCAACACGCTGAATTTAAATAAAACATAATTGTTTTTAGCTAAACCCTCTACATCTACTGTAAAACAATGTTAAAATTGTGCTTTAGTTTCAAAAACCGTCAGATCCAACGTGGTTTACACCATCATTGGTTTCAAGCCCCTCCACATCCGTTGCAGCCAATGAGAGCGCCCGCTTTGGTAACTCCCCGCCATTCTCACCGAGTGTTTAATTGTTTAAGGTTTTTACTTTAAAACATTTTCTGTTATAGTAAAAAAAAAAAAACATTTTATTATTATACGTTTACACCTAGGTGTTCACTATAACCCTATTAGTTTTACCAGTTTTCTTTAAGATTAACCCTTTGGAGCAATCCAAATTTCAAATAGCTATTTTCTTCGTAAAAAGGTTTTATGACGTTGATATGTTGTCATATGTTGTGACTTAAATATAGCTAAGATAAAACATATTTAGGAATTTGTTGTAAAAAATATGTTGTCTGTCAGGTACAGTTTTAGTCACACTCACGAAAAAGTATGCAACTGTATGTGGCGAGTTTTGATTCTAGGCACATCTGAAAATTTCTCTCTCAGTCCTTTTAAGTGGACAACTTAGCTGTCAAAACAATATTTAGAGTTAAGGAGCTTATATAGGAAGCTAAGGAGAGTGCCCCAGAGCACGTCGTTGGTTTAAGTAGAATAATTTAAGCATGTAGAAATTAATTCAGTTATTATTTGCAAACAAAATCTAATATAAATTATATTTCTTTCTTTTCACAATAATTACGACTCTAAATTTCAAAGAGTCACTTTCCATAGATATTCACATAACATCCTATTTTAGCCTACTGTAACTATTCGTTTAAAGGTGTTTTTATGTGCATTTTTGTTGTTCAGAACACTTCAACATCACACTAAAACACCCACCATATGAAAAAAGCCATATTAAAAAAAGCCATATGATTCTACAATTTACCGAGTGCTTTCACAGAAGGTTTATTTACGTCCGTTGTAAGCCCCTGGGTGCTGTTTATGGCATCTCTAATTCAGGGCAGTGGCTATTAGTCAATATTGGAAGCCGTTCAGTATTATATACACAAATGGGCCTTTGTTGGGTCACAGCTGTTTTGCATCACTGTTATTTCCCAAAAGGTAAACCATTCCCTTTCAATATTGATTCCTAAATAACGTGAGTCCCTAGCATCGGGCCAAAATGTGACAGGTTTGAGCCCCTATGTACAGGAGTTTTTTTAACGCAACCCAAATAGTTAAAACTACGGCGAGACACCTTTTTAAAACAAAACCAGCACATATGTTGGTATTCTTATTTTCTTTACTTCAGTGCCGATCGGCGTTGTTCATGCATGAATATATAAGGTTTAGTGTTATTGAAAATTTATTGTATAAGACTGAGCACAATTTTTTATCAAGCTAAAATAGAGTATGTATTGAAGTTTTAGGTTTTTTGTTTTTATGGATCCGGTTTCCTTTCATTTAAAGAATTCAATGAATAGCAATACAAGTCAAAGGTCACAAAATCGTAGTTATTAACTAGATGAGGAAGAAATCTTAACTTATTAAAGAATCAAATTTTTCCCACAGGGAAGAATGTGAAAAAGTGGAGAAAGATAGAGCCAATTTAGTTGTAAAGGGTGACATTATTCACATAGCGTGATGGAAACTTCAAAGTATCCAGGTCATGTGTCCAGGTCATGACGCCACCAATATTTGTGTTTCTACTGCAGATGTTGTTTTTTATGTATAGACATTATAGTAGGTCATTCCCTATCTTTATTTTTCACTTGTATAAGCTTAAGTCATGTTTCCAGGTCATGACGATACCAACATTGAGTCGCTACTGCAGATGTTGTTCTTTTATGTATAGACGTATAGTATGTCGTTCCCTATCTTTATTTTTCACTTGTATAAGCCTAAGTCTTGTCTGCAGGTCATGACGACACCAACATTGAGTCGCTACTACAGATGTTGTTCTTTTATGTATAGACGTATAGTAGGTCGTTCCCTATCTTTATTTTTCACTTGTATAAGCTTAAGTCATGTCTCCAGGTCATGACGACACCAACATTGAGTCGCTACTACAGATGTTGTTCTACGAGTCGACGTTTTCCCCCGCTCCTGCGGTCTCTACCACACCCAGGGTGTTGCCGTACTTCGAGACAACCTCCCTGTCCACCAACCTCACAGCTCAGCTTGGAGACCCGGTCGTGTTCCACTGCAAAGTCAACGACCTCGTGGACGACGCATCGGTAATGCTAAAATAAGGAAAATGTTAGTGTGTAAGAATCAGTTTGTGGATGTAGACACTAGGTTTGTTTGGCAATATTTATTTAATCTGAATAATCCTTATCTAGGATCTTTAAATTACCTTACCAACTTAACTCTTACATGCCTTATTTGGTCAATCTTTGGTTGACAGGATTCGAGAAAGACAGGTTAGCGTACTGTGCCAAGACTATTAATAACATACATATATACATTTTAGAAATTAATTAAACCTTTTCGGTGACGTAAGAAACGATGTATTACTGGATAACGAGGAAATCCAGTTCTTTGTCTAGTCTTAGTTCCTGGAATTCCATTTTCATCGACGAATGTTTGATTTTGCAGATGACACATAGCTATTAACTTTGAAAATGAAAATATTTGCTAAAAAAGGTTATTAATGTAGTTATTAAGTAACGTGTAGTAATGTGTCTTAACCGAATGCAGGTCAAAGTGAATGACATGAAATATATTAATTTTAGTTTGTTGAATAGTTTAAACTATACGACAAAAAATAAACTATAATAGAGGCTTTTACCCAAGCCTTTGCCAAACAAAGCAAACTATTGAACCTTGATTAGTTCTAGAAAATTCTAAAGGTTCACTCACTACAGTACTAATGAAAGGTATTCTTCGACTTTTACACACTATTTGCATTTCACTGTTGCATACCAAAGACGAGGGAATATTTAATGGAAACGAATTAACTTGATATCTTCAATGCTAGCACACGTACATGTGGTATAATTTATTTGAACAAGTGCAGGTTTAAGTAAGATATTGTCTTTCAAAAAGATCGGTTGTAGTACAATTAACTGGTTGATCATACCGTTAACTATACTTCAATGGATTGTTTTGTTGTCGTCAACAGACAACAGGTATCTTAAACCTTCATTTGTTAGTTTTACGACCAAACTACCACTTATCAAGAAATCGTTTATTTTGTTGTCAATATTGTTTGTACACTTGATATTTCCTTAATTGCCAGGTGTCGTGGCTTCGTCGGCAGGACGGTCAGCTGCTTCTGCTCTCGGTCGGAGTCGAGGTGTACAGCAAGGACACGAGGATAGCCGCCCACCTCACCCCGCCCAATGACTGGCAGCTGCGACTAGCCGCTGCCCAGCAGGGTGACCAGGGCGGCTACGAATGTCAGGTCTCGTCTCACCCGCCCATCGTCCAGACAGTCCATCTACATGTCATAGGTGAACATTCACTGTACATTTCAAGACAAAATTATTCAGGGTATTTATAAATGTGTTGGTTACTTTGCGAAAAAGTGACCGACATTGATACAAGTAAGACTAAGGTGAATTCCAAAAACACACATGAAATTGAAGCCAACGTTGGAAGCTACACCAAATTCAAGTTAATAAAATTTTATAGATTTGTTTACCTGTATACAAGGGTAATTTGAAAAATGTGAGTGACACAAATTGTATTATTTATCGTAATCATAAAGTAAAAGACGGATTTTTATTTGTTTTACCAAAAAATATTCACTACGCCTACTTGATGATTCATTACTTATAAAAAAATCTTCATCTTTAATCTATACTGTAGGATGGATTACGTCATAAGATGTCAATAAACACATACTGTCTATTTACGTTATTTACACTATTTACATTTTAATATAGCATGGTAGGTGTATTTCAATGTTATTATCGGTAAATAGGCTCTTCACTAAGTTTCCCCAATGAATATAGTGGCCTTTTTACCAAAGCTCCATGTACAACCTTAAAGTTAAGGAGGTCTATCTCACGCACTCGCAATGACATTCAATAGAAAATTTTGTAGAGCTGGGAAACTTTAGAGTACGACCCAAGTGACAGCATAGCCCGTTAACATGCATGACCTTTAAAAAATGCTCGCAAAGCGTTTAACATGCAAATTTCACAGTAGCGTAAGAAATTAATTACTTAAAGAGAGCAGTGCGGTAGGCCAATTAACATTCGTGCAACCGCATGGAGGCTTCCTTAATTAACATCTGTGCCTTCACATTCTGAAGTTTGGACGGAAAGTTCAGTTCAACACATGTAGCGGAGAATTTACTAATTACTGGAATAATTACTGAAAAAACGTATTAACTGTTTAGTTCTAAGCCAATAGACTTTGTTCGTTTTTAATACAGTTATTGTAAAAGCCAATAGACAAGGTTTAACAAATAAATGGCGTAAAATTAAGCTAATTTGCGTGTGATGGTATTGTGATCTGTAGCAACAAATTGAATTGGATCTAATTGCAAAGGTCAAACATAAATTTGTAGTTTTATTTAATTTATTGATAGTGTTTGAATGAATTAAGTAATTATGAGAGCCCCAGCCAATTTCACTACGATACAATTGATAAAACAACTTACTGTATTACAATACAGTAACACCTTTTTTACAATTTACTTATAACATGATAAATTATATTATAAGTATGCTTCTCAAGAAAATTTGCATTGCTTTCTCGCTGCTTCTTGGTTTTAATTTATAATGAAATTGTATTTACCAAGTAGTTATAACACATTACCTTTTACTAAAACTAAATAAACCCACGAAACCAAGTATCACACTTACTTACTTTACTTTCCGTGTCCGGATATATTTATCACAATGAGCTTCAAACAAGGTAAATTGAAAATGATAAAAAAATTGAACCTGAATGAAAAAATCAATAGTTATCAGATTATCAGTATTTTTAGGTTGCTAACACTTAATTTATTAAATTCATTGGTGAAGATTTAAATGAGGACAAAATGAACAAGAACATAAATCGAGAAGGTTTGTGTGTTGGTGACTGGTCAGTCGCCCATTTGTCATAGATCGTACATGGTTTCCTTCACTTCTAGGGCCCTGTGTCCCTGATATATAGGACGCAGGGTTGTGTAAAAGGATTGATTTGTTTGACGAATATCAAATATAGCATAGAGTAAAAGAGGAAAAAACAAGACCTAAAGACGGATTCATTACTTATATTATGGACGAAACAAGTTATGCAGCCAAAACGACTTGTACCTTAATATGTTTTACTCTAAAGAAAAACAATAAATTAACAGAAACCAAACCCGACTAATACTTTAATTGTTTGGTAAGTAATTATATTTTATAGTGGATTTGTCGTATTGTGCTATTTATTGCGATTTACATGCAAGGTGCCCTGGGATCTTACTGAAATGTAAAAAAATCATTATTATAGCTTTTCGCACTTGTATATTAAGATATGGGTTTTTAATGTAGTATTTTAGAAGCGTGTTGTTTTGTAAAAAAAAACCTTATACGGTATAAAAATGCATTAGATAAAATTTCTATTTCTTTGGTAATCAATAGTTCGGGTAAAATATTATCAATGCCCACCACACTTTAAAAGCTACACGAACTTGGGATAAAAGTATCGTATTATATATTGGTGGTCGATGCACTGCAGCCTTTGATGCAACACATCAATAATACCCCTAATTAAAATTACCCGATAAATTAGTTGTCGGTTAAACAAACATTAGCTGTTCGGTGAATACATCAAAGTTAGCCACTTTTATAATGGTTTCCCTGAACTATGTTGCTCGTTTTGTTTGTCCATGTATGAGCTGCTGACTACGTCAATGAATGTTAAGTATAAATAACATGACACGAGTTTTTAGTAATATTTAATTATTGTTTGTTTGCTCGTAAATGTTCATAAAAATTATGTTCGTAGTAGTGGATTAGACAAATAACTGTTCAAGATGAGTAATTTCAGTCGATAAAGTATTTTCTGGTCATACTAGCCACAGAGGCGAAAAAGTCTACAAGCTATTGAAACTACCTACAAAATTTAATGCAGTTAACACTTAAAAATAAAAAACGATAATAACCTATCCAAATTTTTAATTACAATTATTATTTCATTTCATTTCATTTTTATTAAACGGCAAACACCATTTTACAAGTGGGTTTAACAAGATTACATTATACATTGTGCATTAAACATACATACCAACGACAGAGCCATTTGAAAATTAGCGAAAAACAGTTTCCAGCTTAAACACAAAATCAATAAGACAATCGATAGAAAAATCAACAATAAATAACAATAAAAATAAATAACAATATAAATAAATAACAATATAATACATAACAATATAAATAAATAACAATCCCGTTATATTACAAATTATTATATTACAAGATATTAATATTCGAGAAGATAATCAATCAACAATAGAAATAACACAAATAATTGAAAGGAATATATCATTAATAACTATAGAAAACAACAACAAGGAGTAACAACAATTGATAAAGATTTAAAAAAATTTAACAGGGATTAAAATATTAGAATGAAAACGATACAGTGATAAATCTCAGACATAAAGAAAAACTTGAATTGACAGAATAATATTGCTTGGCAGTTGGCACTTCCTCTCACTGATTGTGTGGCCCTTTTAGAGGCACCACCAAAAACACACTCACTTCACTGCACATGTGGCACTTGAAGTGTAGCCCTCTAGAGGCACCACCAAAAGCACAAAGACTAAAGCTGGATCTGGTCAGCAGCCCACTTAAACACTACTCTCCTAAAGAGTAAGCCTCTATTATACGTAAGCCTAACTCACCATGAACAGCTAAAACTGTATATGGACAATTGGACATCTGCTGCAACCTGTGAGTCGTCTGACGAGTTTTTAATCACTACGCTACAGGAATTTCCACAACACCATGATTTTAATTCTAACTGTTTACTGGCTCGAGTACTCACTGAGGGTGTGCGTGATTGTTTATGTGCCTACCAACAATGTGTTATGTACTATTATGAAATTAAATGGTTATCATCTAGGGGGATTCATTTCAACCTAAAAGGCGAAAAGTCTGGTGCTAAAAGGAGAAGGATAAATAAATATTTATCGAAACACTGACTATATACTTGTCTCTGTTGATCAGTTCCTGAGCTGGTGATTGCTGACGAGAGGGGGTTGCCCATCAGGAACAAATTCTACAACGCAGGCAGCACAATAGAGCTGAAGTGCATCATTAGTAGAGTACCACACCCGTCCAGTGCCATCACCTGGAGACATGGCACTAGGACAATCGCGTCGGACACTTCTAGAAGAGGCATTAGGTAAGTATTTCGATTAGATAAAAAAATGCAAAACGACATTTGTTCTTAAAAATAGATTTTGTTTTCTTGGCGATCAAATAGTTGCACGAACCATTACGAACGAAAACTTCTTCCATTTCAATCTTGACTGGCTTGTTACTTATTTACTTTTCATTCAGTTGTTGACGAACTCATTCAAGGGAGTATGACCTGTCCTGTATCATGTTACTGCCGATGCAATGTCTGTGTGTGTTGGTTTCACCTACCTTTTTCCTTAGCCTATTTCATAAAATCTCACTGGAGCATAAGACCTCTGGAAGTGTTTTTCCCTAGTTCTGCCATCTCTATCTAGCCAAAACTTAATTTACAAACATCCTTTGGAGCTCCTTATCCTGTTTCGCAACGTGGGGTCCGGTCAAGAGCTATCACTGGATTTTCTCACATGTGTTCCATTTTTTTCCTACTTCGTCTTCATTCCCTCATATACAGGCATTTTTCAGCTTACCAGGTAAACTCAAGCTGTTTCTTTGGTGGATATCATTTCTGCCCACCAAATGTTCATAGTACTACTAAGACTGCAATTGACAATTGTGTGTGTGTTTAGATAGGATGTTGGTTATTACTCCGGTTTCAAGGTGAATTCCTCTATAAAACTGGTACTGATAGCCTTCTTCGTGTTCCAGTGTCAAGACTGAGGAGGATGCAGAGGGCGCCACTAGTCGTCTGTTCATCGCCAACGCCAGGACAGTAGACTCCGGGGACTACAGCTGTTCTCTCGGTAGTCTAGTCTCCACCTCAGTGGCGGTGCACGTTCTCAATGGTGAGCCACTTCAACTAAGTAATACACACTTGTAACATGTACACTTTGGGGCTCAAGAGGAGCCTTTTAGTAACCATTTCAAATTCTAAAAACATCATTCTAAAAAATTCGAGCAATCACGAAATAATAATAATATTATATATAAGGATTACTCTTAGATGAAGGAAGATAAACTTTGTAATGATACAAAATAACTGACATGAGAAAAAAAATCTAAACCAGTGGGATGGTAGGGTGGGGCAGATTAACTTGTTTATTTCAGTAGGAAATCCTGTAATGACTGATGCTGTTACGATATTGAGGTTTATATAATCTGAAAGGCTGTGATTTACAGTTTATATCACACTTGGTTTAGCTTACATCATGCAGTGGACAAAGATTCAACAAACATTCGCAGTTGAGGTGTATTTTGCAAATGGTCATTATAATGGTCACAGTCGTTCTTGACTGATGATGCTAATTTCAATCTTTCGGGATGAATCAATAGGCAGAGCATGAGTTATTGGAGCTTACACGTCCCAAGTATACTTATTGAGTGGGAAAATTGTAGTTTCAGCTTCAGCAGTGCAGCACCATAGCACATACTACGAGTGTCAATAGCAGTTTTGTAGCAACACTTTTCAGGGCGGATCATTTTGTGATGCGATATACATTGGTCTGCGTGGCCCTCCAATTTATACCTCTGTGACTACATTCTATGGGGTTATCTCAAGTCATTGGTCTACAAAGATTGTCCAAGTACTCTAAAGTCAAAATACATAATTTGCCTCGCTATTGCAAAAACAACTGTGGATGCGCACTGCGCAGTGGAGAGCTTATAAAGTCTTTAAAACTCAACTGAGACCGTGCACTCATAATAATGGATCTATGTGCACATAAATTACAAAACATAAATAAGCATTATTTATTAATTTAAATTTTAGTAAACATACATTTCTAATGCTATTCTGTGTGTTATATAAGGAAAAGCAATTTAGTTTGTGTACATTTTGTTTTGTTGAGTACCAAAATACGCAAGTTTGCCCACCCTGTACCAAGCTAAAAAAATCTGTAGCAATAAAACCTTCAAACTATTTCAATAAACATTCTTGATACTATTTCAGGAGAGACACCAGCGGCGATGCAGCACGGGGGAGGTTCAGTGGCATTCCCCTGCCATTGCTTCTACATGCTTCTCATCATCATAAACCTCTTGAGCTCAAGATAACATTGAATCTGGCTGTGTTTGTTCAAGATTTATGTATAACAACCGATACTTGTATAAACTATTTTTCCTAAGATGTAGCTGAATGTAGATTTTTGTACTCTCACACTTGGGTTATTTCACATTGTAAAGCTTTTATTAGCCGTTTTCGTTTTGAATAGATGGATTAACGTTTTCTCTGTACTTTCGTATAAAAGTTTTAAAATCGCTGAAATTTGTCAAAATCAATCTATGATAAACGTGTCAAAAGAATCCTTGATCCAAAATTTCAACTTTTCAATACATTAGCAGGAAATATGAGGCATTTTGATGTAAATTTCTACAAAATAATATATAAAATTACATTTACCAAAAATCAGTTGGAGATTTTAAGATAATTCAAGTTTGATAGTTTTGCATTTTTAATTTTAAAAAAACCTCTCACGGTGAATTAGCTAAAATATGATATTAAGTGACAAGATTCGTAATGTTTTTGGAAGACTTTGATGTGGTGAATGTTATAATTTTGTCTATTAAAAAGTAAAACATGTTTTATCGTAAAACTGCTGTTACACGTAATTGATGATTAAACATTGATTTATAATGATGTATTTTTATTTCCCTCTCTGTAAAAATATAACACCTTATTTTTACCGTATACAATACAATAGTACCAACAAATTTATTACATATAGTTTTAAAAATTTTAGACTAGGACATCAAAGTTAATGATTTCAAAAAGAATATTGGTCATGTCACGAAGCGAATATAGGTTATAAAATGAATAAAAATCAATTACATGTTTGATCTGTTGAATAAGGAGTTTCCCGACCAGAGATTAAGTATCGCGCAGTTGCGCACAATATTAGTAAAATATATTCTTATAAACTTTATAACTCCAAACAAATCATTTTTCTAGTAAAATTACTGTAATCATTTTGCATGCATTTTACACATAGCTATTTTGGAAAAATCTAAGTTTATTCACTAAACAAAGTAGTTTGCAATAAAAACTGACTACATTTTAATATTTCACAAACTTGGTAATCCCACCACAAAATTGTTTATTAGATATTCATTGCTACAACGAAGATAAAAAATATACCACCAAGCACTTAGTCTAAGTCTAGGAAAATTACAAAGTTTTAATGCACTATGAGATTAAAGAACGGCACAACTTTCAATGCAGTGGAAAGTAAAAAAAAAACTTCAACGTTAAGTGGGTCTTCAACCTCCGTTGATTATATGACTTAGTTGAAGTTACTTTTTGACATCTTTGAAAACACGCAATGATTTACATAATCATGTTTACTTTACAGAGTAAGCTGCATGTGACGCTTTTATAATCATGTTGTACTTTGAGTCCACCTTTTTGAATATTTCCTTTGCTAGTGCAAATAATTTGCAATAATAATGGTGAGCCGGTGGCTCAGTCGGTAGCGTCATGGACTTCGGGCCCAAGGCACTCGTGGGTTCGGATCCTGGTCACTGCCACTAAAATATATCAGTACAGTTCACCTTTGTACTGTACCGGCCTTTGTACTGTATCGGCTCACTCCTTGCTTCGCTGTAAACGATCCACGCACGGGAGCTTAGTCTATGTGGACGGGCAAATGCAAGGTTAAAAGAGGCCGTCATCCTAAAAAAAAAACTATTCTATTTATTAGTCTGCTAGTAATGTGGAAAATTAAATGTACACAGAGTTTAATGTTATTAGAGTTAAAACAGACCAATTATCTAACATACTCTAATTAACCATATTATATGCATTCAATTAAAAATATAAACAATGCCTTGACTGTAATACGAGTTAATTACTGAAAAGTACCTGGTCTATTTAAACATGCTGTTAACATTATTATCAAAGATTTCGAATTTATTTACAAATTTCATTGATTTTAGCTTATATCCAGAAGACAAAAAAAAACATCTTAGTGTTAGATCTTAAATTTATTTTCACCAACAGAGAAAACTATATTTAATAAAAAAAATCAATATACCTTTTGTAAACATAAATAAGTATAACTATCGATATCATGTCATCATGCACAGCTGTCAGTAAAAACATGAAACCTCGATGTAAAGACAAAGCGAGAATAGAAAAAATATTATTTATTTGATTTGATAGATAGAATTTACAAAAATGTGTTTATTACTTATAAGTAATAAGCCCAAACACTGTTAAGTAATTTAAAAAAAATAATAAATATATTTGAAGTGATTATACTTGTACTTTTATTTTTGGTGTTGGTTTGATTTTGCATTTGATGGAAATCATCAGTTCAGTGACGGATATGTATTTACGTGGTGGGGACAGTTTATTCAAACAGCGCTGTATTTGTAAACCGTTTCGTGTTTACTTACAACACTTTTTTATCACATCCCTTCGTTTATTTAGTGTCTTATATTTTAATATCTAAAAATGTTCCCTCTAATAATATCTGACATTATTAACCATGGGGTAATTTCCCCTGTAAACTAAGCTAAAGTGGTGATGCATTTTACTAGTTCACTTTGATATAAGAAAAAAGCATATTAACATAAATTAAGATTTGTATGATGAATATTAAAAAAGGATATTATTACAAATAATAGCATAATCTGCAGAAAACCCTTTGCAGTAAAATACATCAAGTTCCCCCATTAGTAAAAGGTTTGCCAAATTAAGCTGCTGTGCGAGCAAAGTTTTCTAAATGCTTCTAGAATCCTCGAATGTCATGAAGTTGGGCTGGTAAATTGTCTCCTACGCCTTATACAAAAATGTATTTGTAACATTGTTGTTTTAAATATTACATCATATTATAAGACATCATTTATGAAAATGGAATTTAACATGGGGTTAGCGAGTTCCAGAGTTAGCCAATTCCGGATACCCAACAGATTAGATATGCACATAATGATGTTTGAGTCCAAGACCTTAGGAAATTTATAAACGTGAAATAAATATTAGCAAAGCTAAAATTAGTTTTGAAAGCCTGGCAATGGTTAATTTATTTAATATGAGAAAAACATGATCTACGTACGTGGTAGAACGTGGGAATTTTCATGCTTTCATGCTTTTCTGACTTGGCAGTGTACATGAGGTATATTTAAATTTATTTGTTTTCTACTTGCTAGTTTCTCGGAAATACATTGAAAATTAAGTCGTGTTTGTAGCCATATCAAAATAAATTCCTGTAATCCGTAAGAATTTCAAGTGAAGGAGTGGAAACCAAATATTTAACGGGGTTCTGCTTAAACAAGTATGAGAGCTGTAAAGCGGTGACACAGAAAACTAAACAGAACGCAGTGCCTTGTTAGTTTCTAAAAGTAAATTAGAAACTGCTACTACTAGCTCTAAAAATGTGTGTCTGTGCTTTTACGTGTAAAGCTGATCAAGAAATCATCATTATGCGTTTTTAGAATCCTGGCCAGGCTCGGACTGCAATATTGCGCCTGTAGAGAATGATGATTTCTATACTGAGATTAGAGACCTAGTGATTGATTAAATCTTGTAGGAAAGTTTTATTATCAGCTTGTTGTTACTTTAGGCTTTTTTATACATGAGCACACCATAAAAATTTGGAAAATGATTAAATCAGCTAGAAAAAGTATTTATTGTTGTAAATTAATTAAACCTTCTTCTGATTGGAACTTAATTAATATAAATATAAACATTCTTAATACAATATTTACTATATTAAAATTTACTCTATTAATAATAGAAATTTAACTAAGTATTTATAAAAATTCTAAAGAATAATGCAATTTTTTTCATTTTGTTTGTCTGTTTTTCACTTTATAAAATTAACAAAACATGTTAAACACTAAAATTACCATAAGGATTGTTTTAGTATTTAGCTTATCACTTAGCCTCAGGCTTTAAAGATCTTCAGGTTAAATTCATTGGAGTATTTTATTATTTCTATATCCAGTAAGAACAATATGCAACCAAGATAATAGTAATTTACTAAAAGTATAGAAATTCAGCTAACGGCCGATTTAGTAAACCCGAGTTCTACTCTACGAAAACACATTACAAAATCAGTTTTTAAATACCATTGTTACAGCGACAGTAAAACTTAGGTTCGTAAGGACTTTATCTTAGTTTAAGGAAATTACAAAGTTTTAATGCATTGGATATTGAGGAACGGCAAAACTTTCGATTCAGTAAATAGTAAAAAATAACGCCAACCCTCCAGCTTCTGTTGATTGCAAGACTGCAGTTCATAGATTAGATTATAAGTGGTACCTTTCTTTGAGTTTACGCAACCGTTCACATAATCGTGTTAACTTTACATACATAATCGGGCTACGTCGATCCATAAAGCTAAGTCTGCCTTTTCTAGCGTTTCTTCTGGGAACCAAAATAAGTTAAGTTCATAACAAGACCATAAGGTTATAACCATCTTATATATATTATAATATATATATATCTTATATAACTATCTAGGATGCACTCTTGATATATTCGTGTAAATTGACAGGTTTAATCACGTTGTGGGAAATATACGCATGCCATATAAAACACGTATCTAAAGTAGAGCTTTTTAAAGAATAATTTATTTTTATATGATCAAAAACTGAGAATATTTGTACTGAATTAATTCATACAAATAAGTAAACAAATGAATCAATAATAAAAATCTTAAATTAAAAATTTATTTCATTGAATATTAGTTTTGATTACGTTGTATGGATTGTTTTTTTACAAAATGTTATATAATTCAAAACCAAACAGCTTTATTTGGTTTTAGTTCAGTATTTATCTAGTCAATAAAACTTTAAAACTCAAATCATATATCCAAAGAATAATATACTTAATAGCTTATTATAATATTTAATAAAAAGTGGTACGTTTGTTTAAAGACACGGAAGAAATTGCACACTGATTTACTTACTAATAGTGAATGAATTTATAACAACGGCAAAGTAAGAACATCCAAACCCAAAACCTTCTGTCCTAGAAAGTCATGCTAGTTAGCCTTTTACTAAGTTTGAGTTTTAGAACTACATTCAAAATAAATTTAAACATGAAGCTTTACAAACAAGTACTTAAACATGTGTAAAATCAGTGGAAGTAATTGATGCTTTGTAATTTTGAAAATCTCACGACTTTATCCCCAAAAAAATCAGAAATAATACTAGATTTCTTGAAATATGATATTAGTTTCCTGCAACTGAAAAATATCAGGCCAGTTTTTACTTTGAACAGTTGAGGGACAAACTACATTAAA